AACCTTTTTGAGGTTTTAAAGGCTCAAAAGTCGGGCCAGCAATAAAAGCTTTTGCATAGAGGGCTTACTTAAAATAGGTGGGATGGGCCTTGATCGGAGTCGAAGAGAAGGTGCACTGACCCCCCTCTTTCCCCCCTTAAAAGGGGAAAAAGCAAAAAGTAGCCCTTTCCGGACGGCATCTTCTACCCTCAGGCAAGGGCATGACCTGGGCACCCACCCAAGTCTGAGCACTGGGCACCTGGCCAGGCCGCCCATAAAGAGCTGCCTATGCCTAGGTGGGGTGCCGGCCCCCTTTGTGTATTAAACTCTCTCATGCTCCCAATGCCTAATTCTGTTGTCTGCCTCTTCGATAGCCCTACCTACCTTTCCCCACTTAACCAAGTGGATTTTTCTATCATCTCCTCAGCCACCCCAAAGAGCGTTATCTCATCATCTCTCTATTCATCTGCTAATGCTGCGCATTTGGCCCATCAAAGATACATTTAGACAATCAGGAGCCTATGTTGGTCGCATTTGGTCAGGCACATAAGTTTGAACTTCAGAAACTAATTGAATCAACACCTCAGGCTTGTTTGCATCTGTCATTGTTATACCTTTTTTGGGCCTAGCTGTAGAAGCCTAGCTGTAGAAGCCATTAGTCGACTAAGATGGACAATATAGACCAAACACAGCAAGCAAAATATCACTTATTCTTCTTCGTTTATGACTTTACAGGAAGTGTTTGACTAAAAGTCATTATCCTGGGAAAAGTTACATCATATTCTTAATCCATCTATTCTTTGATAAGCTATAAATTCCTTCTTTGTTACAAAATGTTTCAAGAATCCTTTTAGAAAATCATTTCACTATTTGTAAAGAAGAAATGATTTTCGAACAAGTGTCTGAGTAATGACAAGCAAAAGGTGCATTCCAATAACCATGTCACTAGCTAGTTTTGTTCTATGCAAAATACAGCACAATGCACTTCTTGTCATTTTCTTTATGCCAAGGTGATTTGGAATACTTTGAGAATCACACAGTGGAAGTTACAAACTTCAATGTACCCTGAAGAATGGCCTCTCCATTGAGAAACTTCTGCAAAGCCTGCTGATAAATACGTTATGTGTTGCTCCACTGCAAGCTCTTGCAGGCAGATACTCCATGATTTATTGGGAGTGTGCACTTCACTTAGATCAACCGGACATTGCTTTTGCTTGTAACATAGATGTTTCCATAAGTTAGAGTTAAGAATTGTTCTGTACCTGGAAAGAGAAAATGAAAAGTGTGTAAGAAAAGGTTCAGTTCCTAATAATATGTAACATAGTTATCGATCAGAGAAAAAAATCTAAAAATTTATCAAAAAGTGGGTGTGTGCAGTTGATCAATGGAGTACATTGAAGCAATAACAATCTGACACCCAAAAAGGAATTTACATATTTTACAAATTACTAAGCAAAGCTAGCTTCAGGGATGCATTATTCAAGTAGAATTCTAAGTATATCGGCTGTTACAGATATTGGTCATTGATGCTTCTTAACCTTTTTGTCAGTCATTTATAATGATATTTTACTCAACAAAGAGTAATCTGTCAGTTACTCTTCAAAGTTCTTCTTTCCTCACATCAAATGAATAATGCATACATATTTCTTTGAACGAAAAATTAGAAGGACCCAGAAACTATTTCACGAATTAGAAAAGAAATAGAGTTTTTTTAGGTAAGATTGAGGTAAAATATCAATCAAATTTTTAAATCAAACGGGCATGGGCACTGAAGGAAGAGCATGTATACATTTCCTAATGCCACAAAAAATTGAAGAACCCATAAAAAAAAACATCTGCGAATTGGCCACGAAAAAAGACTTTCTGAGTGAAATTTCAAGAAAATGGAACCGATTAAGTAAGCATGTATACATTTCCTAATGCCACAAAAACTTAGAGAACCCATAAAAAAACATCTGCGAATTGGCCACGGAAAAAGAGTTTCTGAGTGAAATTTCAAGAAAATGGAACCGATTATGAAGTAAGTTGTGGAACTAACCAGAATTTGCAGACTACAGAGGATCGAGCAAGATCGAAGTGGTCTAGAGAGCCGAAGATTCTGCAGAGAAGATCACTACTAAGCGCATGGATTCCTCCACTGCGCGCTCTCCTGCTATATAGGCAGCTCTTTCCCACCTCCATATTCAGAGAGTTGCAGGGTTTTCAAACACTCTGGAAACCCATGGCCTCACGCGAAAATGTGTTCACAGAAGAGAGCGCAAAACTGGGAAGAGAGAGGAGAGGAAGAGGGGCCACCTAGAGAGAGAGTACAGGGGAAGAGAGAGAGACAAGTCCTATTGTCTTTAATGAAATGGCTAAACTGCCCCTATTTATCTCAAAAATTTTTTTTAGAAGAGGTCGTTTTGATGCTCAGTGATTATCTCCATACATGGACATGAAAAAGAATAAATTTCGAAGTTCTAAAATAAATTTCGAAGTTCTAAAAATAATGTATTTTGTAACGTATTTTTGAATTATCAATTTTAAAAAGTTTTCAAGTTATTCAAATATCGGCTCCCATTTACATTATTTTGAAGCTTTAACTTGAAATAGTTTATATAGGGCTTAGGCTCCGAACAATCAAATTAGAACTACCTCAAACATCTTACTAGAAGAGGTTGTTTTGATGCCCAAATATCCTCTAATTGATCATCTCGACTTCGACATGCATGGACCTGGTAAAAAAAATGGATTTCTAGTTTTAAAAATAGTACATCTTATAATGCATATTTGGATAGTTAATTGATATGCTCGATCAACACTATTTTTTAAGCTTTAAATTTTCATTGATATGCTAGATCAACACTATTTTTTAAGCTTTAAATTTTATAATTAAAAATAAAAATATATTTTAAGACTAATCAAAAATGGAAAAAGATTCAGTGTATAGACTCATGTGTATAGACTCTATGTATAGCAACTCGAAAGGGGACAGCGGGGGAAAGATTTCGTGCTTTGTACGACAAATATTTCATTTTAAAAAATTATAAGGGGGACGGTGGGGAAAGTATGCCTCTACACGCTGGTGACGTTCTCCCTCACTCTCTCGCTCTAAACACTTTTTCTCTTTCTCACAAGCGGAGCTGAAGGCCACCTCTCCTCTACGACTCTCTGCTGTAGTTTCCCAACTTTTTTTTCTCTCTCATGCCCCCATTCTATCTCTAGCGCCCATATCTCTCTGTTGTAGTTTCCCCATTCCCATCTCCCTCTTTTGCCTCACCCCTATCTTTCTCTCACCCCTTCTCTCTTTGAAAATTTCGTGCCTCATTCTCATCTCTTTGGAAATCACTCTCCCTTGACCCATTGTCATCTCTCTGGAAATCCCTCTCTCGCCACTCTCACTACCACATACCCATGCCATGTCTCTCTAAAAATCCCTCTCGCCCCCTCTCCCCTGCCCCATTCCCATCTCTCTCTATCAAGGTTATGGATTTCGGCTCCGCCACATGTCCTATATCACTCTTTCTAAAGATGTTTTTCTCTCTCTTTTTAGTTTTTCCATTCCCATCTCTCTTTCTCCCATCTCTCGCCCGCATCCCCATCTCTCTCTTTCTCTCTAGTTGGAATGACATTATCTCTCTTTATCAAGTTTATGGATTTTGACTTCAAAACAAAATCGTTGTTGTTTAGAGAGAGAGAGTGAGGTAAGACTAAGAAAGAGGAGAGACTGAGGATGTTGAGAAGAGCCGTAAAGGAGATGTGGCATTCAGCCTTGCTTATAGAGGAGGTAGAAATGGAGAGAGAGAAAGAGACATGACTGAGAAAGAGGAGAGACTGAAGATGCTAAAAAGATGAGAGAGAGAAGAGAGTGAGGTAGTCAGTAGTTGGCAGATGTGTACTTTCTTCACTCTCCCCAATATTGGCAGACAAGAGTTCTAAATTTTTAAAACGAAATCTTCGCCGTTTAAAAGACGTGACAAATCTTGACCGTCCTACGCATTGGGTCGCTATACGAAAAGTGGGGGCACTAGAGCTTTTTTCATCAAAGATTTTCCATATTGAAACTAGATTTCTGGATACTATGTGATGGTGGGTTCAAATTTAATTGTTTAGAGCCTCGGCTCTATACATTCCGTACGTTTTTTATAATAAAAAAATAAAATAAGTTTTCGAGTCATCACACATATTTCCGGTATTGAAATACATCTTTGAAAAAAGCGCGCCTTATTTTGATTATTTAGAGCCTCGGCAATACACGAACCATACCCATATGAATTCCGTCTCCAAAAGAGGACTTGGTCTCGAGTCTGATACGACTCTCTTGTTCATTAAAATAACTAAAATGCCCCTACACGGCTGAGAGATATGACTAAAATGCCCCTCGTCGACTTTGAAGTTTGAATTCCTTATTAGAAGGCGGTTTGGTCTTAATTTCAGAAAAGAAGGCAAGCATCTGCTAGGGCAGAGCGGCGATGGAGGACGCTATCCCTGAAAACGCAAACGAACGTACGAAACTTTTGCCCTAGTTTCTCTCTCTACAATTCTGTTGTGTTTCCATTCCCATATTGAATTTGCCCTAGACTTTCTCTCTCTAAATTCCTGATTACTCTCCTTCATGCTCATGAGCATTTCCCCTGTGTTAACGTTACCCTATCTCTCTCAAAAAACTTCTGTACATTTGTTGGGTGCAAACAGCATATTGGCTTCGTCGTTCATATGCTACTTCATGCTCTCTGTCTCTATTTATTGATTTTTTTTTTTTGGTGTTTCCCTTTTGTAATTTATAGAATGGCTGATTAATTCTATTAATTTTATGGAGTTTTGCGAATGAAATATGTTCATTTTTGGCCTGTTGTAGATTGCCCTGGTCCTAAATCAGAGTCAGCAGGGAAGGAAGATGCATGCGAAGGATGCCCTAATCAGAAAATTTGTGCAACTGCTCCCAAAGGTCCTGATCCGGGTGAGTATTTTCAATTGGAATTCTATGTATAGTTTTTTCAAACTAGTTCGAGGATTCCATGCTGTTTATTTATTTACTTTTATTTTTCATTATAAATTCCATTAAAAGGAAAATGAATGAAATATTGAAACAGAATTCTCTCATGGTGTTGAGAAATCAAACGAACCTAGTTCCTTCATATTGAACCAATATTTATAAAATTATGAAGCGGAAAAAACGAATTATTTAAGCCATATGCCATGGGGTATGCATTTCTGGGAACATGAGTTACACCATACTCTAAATAGAGAAGAGCGAAGAATTGAATTCAGCCTGCAGTTCCAAGTAGTTTCCTCCCATAGTCATCTAATCACAGTTACAGAGTGTCTCTTGAAAAGAAGAGGTTTAGACCTTGGAGGGAAAACACGGAAACTTCATTAAAAAAAAAAAACTGAAAGATTAAACCTCTATCAACAAAGGTTTTGTACGCCCAAATGATATTAGAGGATCTGTGCCTCATTATGACTGTATTGTTCGTAAATGGATTTCTTCCTTGATGCCAAATCCAAAGAGCTCCCGTATAGTGGTTCAATTTAAGTACCTTTCTGTTCCAATATCTGCTGTACAAAACCCTGAACAAACGAGAAGAGGCCTATGCGACAGGAAATGTGCATTTATCAAGGAAAATAAGGAAATTTGCTTAGGACTCTTACTAACCTCTACAGAAAATCAAAGACATGACAGAGATGCGGCATCCCTATTGGGGTTCCTTCCTATGTGGAATGTCTATGTTTATTGGATGCCTTCCTCTAAGTTGGATGTTTGCCGCCAATTGTCTTATTTCTACAAGTGAGGAGCCAGCAAATGTAATGCCAATACCTTAGTTGGACCTCCTTGATCTAGATTCTAAAGCAGGAAATTCATCCCGTCATTTCACTTTGATGCTTTATACATCAATTTATAGAACATATGAAGCGTTCTTGCTCCAACCATTCTAATCTTCATCTATCCTTTTCTTACATACCTTTTTAAGTTTTTTGCACTTGCAAGATGGTCTCCTCAATTTCGTTCTTGCTTGGATCTTTCTTTCATATCAAGGCCCACACAACACCTTCTTGATCGTCAAAGAAATCATAAACCATTTATTCCTATTGGGAGACACATTTGCTACTTTTTGGGATCACATCTGTAAATAAGAGTTCCAACCCCCTCTTTAAACCTCAAATGCCTTATTAGTTTACTATCTCTCAGCCACTTTGCATTGTGCTATTTGTTCCATTTCTCACATACTTCTCTATAAAAATTAACCTCTAATAGACAGTTCTCCTCATGCTATGTTCAAAGCCATATGTATAGGATGACTCGGTCAAGCATCGTTACTCATGGAAGCAGGTGAGCAGGAGGCAGTTCTGGCCTCACCCTTCGGCATTCTCTGCTACAACTGAGTAATGAAGGGTGATAGCTGTGAGCTCTGGCTTAAGGGGCTGTCTTGTGTTAAATCTGAGGAGTAAGAGGAAGAGTGATACAAATCGTCACAATGAGCAAGACCAATCTCTTCTGTATTAGAAAGATTAGAACTATTATATGGATTAAAAAAAGAATTTTTTTTAATCATTCTCATTTATTTCTCACTTGATTCCATTCCCTTCCTTATTAGAGAGGGGCCAGATGCATAAGATCCTGAAGTTACTAGACGAATCTTACTATCTTGAACTCGCCAATCCAAAACAAAAGTAAAACCTAATCATTGTTAACCAGCTGACTTGTGCAATTTTGAGCCCACCACGCAGAAAAAATTGACTGCAGCTTTGAAATGAGTTTTATCCCATTGTATGGTGTATGGAAGTCCAGCATATAGGAAGAGGAAAATTAACTAGAGAACAGTTACCCCCCTTTTATCCAGCCCAGTCATCTATTAATTGGGCACCTTGGCTCATAAAGGAGAAGACCAAGTGGATAGTTATTGGGTTGTATACTATGTCACTCCATTCTATGACCTTTTAGGCTGTTAGCTATCAAACTATGCCACTATTGTTTTTTTTCCTAAGGTTATTCTGTTGCCTTGAATTTATCGAAACATCAAAAACCTAAGGACCTAGGCTTGATCATCATGTCTATAGAAAAGCTCAAGGTTTCAAAAAACACTTGGCTGCTGGCGTGGCACCCAGGATCTCAGGTGCTATATATTACAAATTCTTTAGATATATACATATATGTGTTGTTGAAACGCACATATGTACATATAATTGTGTCAATTTTGTAATTTATTGCATTTGAAAATATTGTAAATTTGTAACATTTTTATTTTACAAATATATAACATATTGCATGTTGAGAATGAACTTGTTCAAAATTTCAAAATTCAAACTATACAAAACATGTAAAGGCCTAATAGGCTATGTAATAGTAATGGTCTGATAGTCTCCAACTCTCCATATACCATAATAACATGGACTCCTAGTCTCCAATTCTCCATATTCCATAATAACATGGACTCCTAGTCTCCAACTCTCCAATTCTCTATATTCCATAATAACATGGACTCCAAGTCTCCAACTCTCCAAGTCTTCAGCAAACTTACAAAAGTGTAAAACCACACAACAAAATAGTCCAAAAATGTGAAAGCTTTGTCTAACATCCAAATGTCTAAAAGTCCAAACCAAGATGGTGCAATAAACATACTACAAAAGAAGAGAGGACATCAATAAGAATCATAATGATCATCGTTATCACCTGCATCTTCATCAGAATTGAGTTTGTCATCATCAGAATCATCACCCTCTTCAACATATTGCTCTTCTTCTATAGTTTCTTTTGAATCCGCCTTTTCCTCCTCTATTTCCCTGTATGTGGGTGAAGTACCAGCGACAGTCGTTGCTTGAGTGGCCCTCTACCTCGTTTTGAAGAAGTGCTTGTGGTGATGACTTAGAGTACTAAAAGTAAGTAAGCGCATGTCATGATGCATCCATCGAGTATGAGGACTAAGGCCTCAAGATTGATGGAGTCACTACTAGGAGATTGAAAGGAATCTTAGCCTACAAGGCTAAGGACGATGATACGTGTCACCGAGAGACTTGATGACCTTAGTTATGATGTTCATGTTGGAGCATCCAAGTAGACTCGAGCCAGACTTAAGGACTCCCATGGTTAGGTCTTTCTTTCTATACTGGATGACTATTTAGTTGATAAAGAGCATATCGGAGAATCACCACTATCATTAGTGAGCTTTCAGTCTTCCAGTGGTAGTAGCCCTCCCTTCGGGCAGTCTTTATAATATGGAATACTTGATCATCAAAACTAGATGTCTTTCGCATACTAGCCTCCCTTGCTGACTACTACCATTCATATTTAAGACTTGATCAACACTAGTCTAAAAGTGATAGCTTAGAGCGTGCGTGCCTGCCTGACCACTCGAAAGAAGTCTTTTTGATAGCTGGAGTCCCTCCCTTTCTAAGGCTTCTGGCTTCCCGTCTTCTTTCTTTTTGTCTTTTAGAAGCCCTCTTACAGTCATCCAGTGGTATCCTTTTCTTACTTGCTTACAGAAGAACTCCCTGTCTTTCAGTGCTTGAATCCCGGATCAGAGGAAGTGCTGGTTTACCTATTTGAGTACTTGCATGAAAGAGCTTACTAGTCTCCGAGCTCCCTTTCTGATGGTGTTAGGCTAGGTTTGGTCTCCCTGGTGGCTTTGGTAAAGAGTTCGCTTGGGTGGTGGCTATGAAGTTATAGCTGGGTGCTTTCTTTATTCAAGAGCGTACTTAAGAAGAACAACTAGCGTCGCTTGGCTTTATGATGGGGAGCTAACGAACGCTCCCTTGTGCTTGGCTCGCTTTACTGGAGAAGAACCACTCTATAGCTTCTGGTTGAGCAAGAGAATACTTGAAGACTCTAATGAAAGAGCTAGAACTTCTTCCCTGCGCCTACCTGACAACTATAATGAATGAGCATCAGAACCACTCGCTCCGAAAGGGCTATGTGTATATACTTGGCTTTTTACTTTCTGTGATTTGCTTATAGCTCCTTTTCACCTCTACACTCCAGGTTGTTGGCCTTAGGACTATGTTATAGCTTCTTTCGCTCCCCCTTCGACTCATATGATCTATATGTTACTATCTTTCTGGTTCTACTGATGGATAACTTACTAGAATGAGCTGACTGTCTTCTTTCTAGCTTTCATGAAGAAGCGTGCATTAAGAAGTGAGCATGAATGAGCAGCCTGGCTTGCTTTATTGAATTACGTATCTGAACTTGCCTTGCTTAGAGCGGAGCTGGCATACAAGACTACTTCAAACTCGAATGACAAAGAGAGCCATCCTCTCCCAATCTTCCTTGCTTACGGGGTTATGAGGATTCAATACCTGATATCAGAACCACTAGCTTCCAGAAGTGCGATAAGTGATGGCTTCCACAAGTGCTACCTTGTCCAGGTTGGAATCCCGGAGGAGAACTACTGGCTAAAGGAGAAGATACACTCGTGTATCGGACGACTTCCCACTTCCTTTCTTTAAAAATCTTACTTGCCTTCTCATCACAGTGCTTCCCTTATGTCTGGCCTTCGCTATTGGACTCTATTGTCAAACTCTACTTATAGCTGGCTTACAGGATCGGTCGCTAACACTCCCTTTCTAACGTCCCTTTCTGACGGGGTTGGGATTGGTTCATACCACAGCTGCTTGACCGAGTTGACCAGGTGCAGGATAGAAGCCAGGAAGAAGCGACTATCAGACTGAAAGCTCTGTTATTCGAGTGGTGATTCCATAGTAGTCAGTAAGGCTAGCTCGACCTATACTAACCTCTAAGCGAAGCAAGAAGCACTGTCAGACTGAAAGCCTTTTTTAAGAAAATATGCTTATTCATGAGAGTAGTCCAGTAAAGAAAGCAAACCAGACTTCTCGCTCTGTCATGATAGTCTTTCTGATCCTGTAACAAAGTATGCATTTCTATACATGCCCCCTAGATGAGCGAACTTGACCAGCAAGCACGGAAGCAATAAGCACTTACAGGGAGTCCGTCCACTAAGCTCTAAGTGAGAGTAGTAAGTAAGGCTGGCTCTAAGCTCTAAGGAAGAAAGAAGCACTGGAAGCGATCTATTAAGCAGCTTAATCCTAGTTCTGATTCTAAAGTATGCAAGTATAGAAAGAACATACCCGAAGCAAGGCAGAGGGGAGACTACTTGAAGAAGGAAGAAGGGAGAGACCGTAAGGCCAGGAGAACAGAGAGGGAAGCGGAGACTACTATCAGACTTTCGAGTGGTAAGGTAGGCAGGCTAGCACGGATAGCGAGTAGTGATTCTCCGGTAGTAGGAAAGAAATAAGGCAAGTGGTTCTGATGTGAAAGCAAAGCGAGTTGTTGTAAGGTAGGCCAGCCATATAGTCAAGAAAGACATGCTGATTCAATTCTCCAAGTTATAACTTCCATGCAAGCTAGTTCTGATTCTCCTTCGGTATTCCATCCTGATTCTCATAACCTTAACTATCGTCTGAATGATACCCTTCCTTAAGGCAAGCCAGCCAGGACGATTATGAGCTCTTGAATTAGAGGCGTTATGAAATAGTATTCTGGATTAAAGCTAGTAGTAAGTAGTTAGGTAGTCAAGTAAGAACAGAAGTCTTGGACTTAAGAAAGGTAGATCGGTAGTCAGCTAATTCAGAAGCTTAAGAAAGGTAGATCAGAAGCTCGTCTTGAAGCCTCCTCGAGCATTTCCCAAGTCAAACCCTCCCCGGGGAAGAATTCCTGAGTTCTAGGGTCCCCAACTAGCCAATCTGAAGCATTCTCGATGTCTTTTGAAGAGATGTGGTCCTTCTTTGCTGGTTGAACTTCTCCATGAGCCTCTGATTCTCGCTAACAAAGACCAAGCCATTGAGCTTCCTTTGCTCAAGCCTATGTCTTCTCTTTGTATGCACCTATAATGCATGAGTAATAGACTACTATGATCCACTTACTTCTATGAATCTATATATGCTCTGTAGATTGAGGTAGGCAGTGGCAAATTTAGTGACCATGAGCCTCACTAGCTCCCTCTTCTTAATAAATTTGTGCATCATGCTAAGGGTAAGTGTGTGACTATATATGAAGACTCTAACCTCCTTAGCCTTAGAAAGAACTTATTTAATAATAGCCATATTACCAATAGCCTCAAGCATAATATCTATGCAATGTGCAACGCAAGGAGTCCAAAATGTGAGGTCTCTTCTATCAAGGCAAATGACCTATAGCTATATTGGGAGCAACATTATTTGTGACCACTTGAATTACATGCTCTTTCCCAACATCCTCAATGCCCTTATTAATGAAAGAATATACATCATGAGCATCATGAATTTCATCTGAAGCATTAATGGATCCCAAAAAATCCATACCCAAGGGACAATTTACCAACAAATTCATGGTACTCCTATCACACTCATAGATCGGTCATTAAAGAAACCCCAAATTTAGCCCACCCATCCTTATGGGTCTTGAGATATTGCTTAGTATGCTCAACTTCTTTCTTCAATAGTGGCTCGTCAATCTCATATGGAGTTGGGCCTTCAAAACTTGGCTAAATTGCCCAATTGCTTCCAATATTGTATGGAAGCTATTCAAACGAGTGGTATTAAAAGAAATGCCTGCATGGTAAAACCACCAAGTAATAATCCTTCTTAAATCTATTTTCAAGTGTCACTTGCTTTTTCCCCTTTCCCTTCCCTTTCTGAATTATTGTTTCTTAGACCCTTTCATACGAGGCCTTTCACACGTGGCCCTTTCATAAGAGGCCTCTTAGACCCAAAACCCCTCTTACTCTCAGTGTCAACACTATCATAAAAAATATGGACCTCTGCCCTCAATTTTGCTATATCCTTTTCTTTTGATATTTTTTAATTTTTAACTTCAATGTACTAGGAAATTTCTTTCTTTACAAGCCCTGAGACCTTCTTACACGGGGCAACATCACCTCTAATGCCAGCAAGATGTTTCTCGAATCTATTTATGCCGGCATTTTATAAATATGGCCACAAAAATTGGACATATTCTTTTTTTCTCATTCTGATTTGGGTTATCAAAAACTTCCATCCCAGATCGTCACACCTAGTATACCCCGCAGAAGACATCTCAAATCCGAAAAAATGAGACTCAAATAAATATTACAAATTGACCTTTTTTGCACAATCTCTTCTCTTTGATGTTTGTTACCTCAATCGAGGTACTAATCTCCTCAAAAGTTTTCTAATACCACGAATAGCACCCAAAAAATAATTCCAATGAGAAAGGAAAAGTTTAGGAAGCTTCTTGAAACCACAAAAAATAATGTTGATTCTAAAAAATAGGCATAGCTAAGAGATTGAGGGCTTATGGAAGTGTTTTTTTTTTAACATTGGGGTTAGAAAATAACCCCAAAAAGATATTTATACCTTTCTAGGGGTCAAAATTACCACTTTTTCCCTTTTGGGCAACTTTGAAATTCGTAAAAAGGCCCTGGGCACCTGCCTAGGTACAACAGCCTAGAATGGGATGCTCAGGCCTAGGCGTGTGGTCTGAGGGGTCTTGGGTGCCTAGGCACCAAGCGAACCGTTTTTTGAAACCTTGGAAAAGCTATTTTTCTAGAGTTGAAGATGGGATATCTCTTCCTTTTCACTAGTATTTTAAAACACGCTGATATGGATGACGAATCGCCAGGTTGTTTCCCTCATTGATTCCTGCACGGTATTAGGAATCAGCCCAACTTAGACCAGCTCTCCAGTTTTGTTAGAGCCCCATGGGAGTTGAATCGTTGGATCGACAATCAAAAAAATTTGGAAAAAGGAACCAAAAGCCCCAAATCCACCATTTTCATCACCTCTCTCATTTCTTCATCATTTATCGTGATTCTTGTTCCTAAATATTCATTTTCTAGCCCTCTCCTAGATCTAGACAACCATTACTTCGATTGAAAACCAGAATCAAGAAATTGAGAGTGCAAAACTTTAGCAATATCTGAAGTTTTGATCTTGTATTTGTGGATTTCTCTGCTTCAATCTATGATTTTTTTGGGGCTTTTTCTCAAGAAGCTCTGCTTCAATCTGCAACAAGTGTTTCTCAATTTCAAACACATTTCAAGTTTCTTGGCCTGGTTTCTATTTTTATTGAAAAACCCTTGAATTTTCAAAACTAAGTGTATGTTTTGTATTATATTATGCAAGATCTATTTGGGATTCTTGGTATAGTGAGGGTTAGAATTATTTGGTAGATCAAATTCAAACACTTCTTTGCATTAATTTTTTGGCTAGGCCTTTTTTCTTCCTTAGAAAACCTCGGATTTTTAGAGTAATTATATATTTTCCCTCTCTTTTGGGGATTTTTGGCATAGAGAGTGTTAGAGTTTTTCGGTGTGGATCTTTTTAAAACAATTTCTTTTTTACTTGGTTATTATTTATTCTGAAAAAGCTCAATTTTTTTTTAAAGAATTCCGTATTCTCTATATATTATGCTAGACCCATTTAGGATTTTTGGCATAGAGAGTGTTCCTTGCTAGCATGTAGCCAATCCTGTCTCTCAATGTCTCTAATAACACCCCATAACGGACACCTTGGGATTCGTGGCATTCTATACAAACCTAGGAACACACACACGAACAGATCTTTAATCACACCATATATCCATCCAAAAAGAGCCAACAATGGATATGCTTTGCCACATGCCTGACGCCTTAGATTTAGGAACCTGCAAGTGAAAATGGCAGTTAGCAGCACAAAGTTTTACAACATTCGATTTCCTGAATGCCCCAAACTTAAAATATACAATAAACAATTAAAAAATGCTTTCTATATTAACCTGCTCACAAAATCTCTTGATGTGTGAATTAGTATCACAGACTATCAATTGGGCTTCATGTATTTTTAGGGAGTCCCCTCATAGCACTGCTCTGGTTACTTGCATTCTTATGAATTCTTAAACACGAAAGCATTCACATTTTAATTATCAGCGCACTGACCATCTCTAGCTATAGCAAAAGGTGATTTGCTTCTAAAGTTTAGAATCACTCTGAATTGAGATACTCTCTATGGACTTTCCTACCAATCAAAAACAATGTTTTTTTTGAGAAAGGTTAACTTTGTAATAGAATAGAAGGACAATAAAAAATCAATTTTATTGAAAAGGACAAACCAAAAAGGGGAAAGGTAAACATCTCCTTTGGATTTCAACTCCTCCCTTGTTGGATTGCAGCTTTGGTTGAGATAGCAGACAGGATGGCTACTGTCAAACACAAGATATTGATCTTATCTGGAAAGGGTGGTGTCGGAAAGAGCACCTTCTCAGCACAGCTCTCCTTTGCCCTTGCTGGTGTGGACTATGATGTTGGTCTCCTTGACATTGACATTTGCGGGCCCAGCATCCCCAAAATGCTTGGCTTAGAAGGACAAGAAATTCACCAGAGCAATCTCGGTTGGTCACCTGTTTATGTAGAGTCCAATCTCGGTGTCATGTCCATTGGTTTTATGCTCCCACACCCAGATGAAGCAGTCATTTGGAGAGGTCCTCGCAAAGATGGCCTCATCAAGCAGTTCTTAAAAGATGTTTATTGGGGTGAACTTGATTATCTTGTGGTTGATGCTCCACCTGGGACCTCTGACGAGCACATCTCAATCGCTCAATATCTCAAGGCTACTGGTGTGGATGGGGCAGTTATTGTCACTACGCCACAAGAAGTTTCCTTAATAGATGTGAGGAAGGAAATAAGCTTTTGCAAGAAGGTGGGCATCCCTATATTGGGTGTTGTGGAGAACATGAGTGGCATCGAGCAAACCATCTTGGACTTGAGGTTCAAGAAGGTGAGAGAAAGTGGGGAAGAGGAAGATGTTACAGAAGAGACTTTGGAGTGTATTAGGAAAAATGCTCCAGATTTGATGTCTCTTGTAGTTTGCAGTGAATTGTTCGATAGTAGCCAAGGTGGTGCTATGAAAATGTGCAAGGATATGCAGGTTTGTCTCTGCCTCTTGCTGGCCGTGCTACTTTGGTTTGCATTGCATGCTATAAGTTGATGGAGAATCGAGAAATATGAACTGTGATTCCACACTCATTGATTATGGCATACTTTTCGTTTTGTGAATTTTTTTTTAGTTGGGTACTTATCAATTTGATCAATTAAAAACCAAAACATTTTGCAGGTCCCTTTCTTGGGGAAGGTCCCGATGGATCCCCACTTGTGCAAGGCTGCTGAAGAAGGTCGATCTTGTTTCTCAGATACGAAATGCAGTGCTAGTGCAGCCGCACTCCAGAAAATTGTTAATAAACTTCTTGCTTTTGATCACTCCAATGGCTATTGACCTTGACGTTGTGTTGGGGAAAAATTTTCCCGGGTTTGACGTTGGGAAGATCTGAAAACTGGTATGACTCTGAGCTATGTATATTTTCCAAAAATAATTTTCCTCTTGGAGGTTCATGATAACTTAATCCTTGGCAGCTTCTTTTGATAAGACTGTTTATTTGGAATATTCTGGATGGCCAAAATGTTTCTTCTAGCTGGTTGACCTATCTGCTCATTAATTGTCAAAACACACTTGCTAACTCTTCCAATGTCCATATCTTGCCATGAAATTCGAAGGGTGATGCCTGAAATGCCTCTCTCCCCACAATTTTAAATTGCCTTACTTTCCAAAGAACATTAATGTTCGAAAATTCACCCGCCCAACTGCCTAGGCGGAAATTTTTTAAAAACAACTAGGCGCTTGCTAGGCGGGGTCATTATGCGTCTTGTGTCTGGGTGCCCTCCTAGGCAGGCAAGGCGCCGCCTCGTGAGAAGTTGAGAAAATGCGGATAATGGGTCTCGTTGAGGGTTAAAAAATATTTTTTCCCCCTAAAAAGGGGAAAAAGGGTTTTGGGGGAGGGTGAGAAAAACTCCCTAAAAACCACTCTTTTGATATTTATCGAAGGATCGATAACTTTTGATTTTTTTGATTTCCTCCCAAAACAAAGGCAATAGTTTGTGGGTGGCTTTGAAGCTTCTAGTAGTTGATTTTGAGGACTTTTGACGACCCTATAGACGAGGTTTGCACCAACATCAATTTGATTTTACTATGTTTAAAGTATTATTGTATTTAAAGGAGGGTTTTGATTTGATTTTGCTAATTGCTACAATATATTGCGTTGTGAATCATGTGCTTTTACGATATATTTACATGTTTATAGTTAAAAGATTGATTTTTTTGTGATTAATTGAATTTTTTCTCATTTGGACACTCAATATGTTGAGGAGGGTGGTGACTGTAATAATGATGGCATGGATACATCATCATCAGATGCTCCTCATGATCTAATTGAACACCCCGTGTGGTGATGCTGCTGATGCCATAGAGTTGTTTGGTTGATGACTTGATGTATTTATTTTTTGGTTTTGCCTTGTTTGGTGATGACCATGTTGACATTTGGGATTTCAAACATTTTAATGTCTTACAAGTTACAATCTCTTTGAGACTTGTAACCGTAAATCTGTTATGTGATTATACTATTACATTTTTGTCTATTTCACGAGGAGTTTGGAGCTCTAAAATTGTCTTAAAACCTTCTTAAGGTTTAAAACTATGCCCTAAGAACTCCCCTGTTTTTTTTTGTTTTTGGGAGCGGGGGGGGTTTCAATTTTGGTGAGGGCACCCTTTCTCTGGGTGAGTTTGTAGGCGGTCAGGCACTCAAAATGCCTTGGCAGCTGAATCCACATTTTTGAATACCGAACATCATATGGTTGCAGAAACTTTCTTCTCTAGTTTGTGCCTACAGAAATAATTGGCCTCCTTTGTAGAGTTTCTATTTTTTCGTTTTACATCAGTATTCAAAGCAGTGCTTTCATGATTGGGTACATGTTTCATGGATCAGTTAACATGGTATGCAAGTTTGGATTTGTTTTGGGAGTTTTGAAGTGGTTTGCCTTTAGTCAAAAGGTTTAATCCTGGGAAAATGGTTTGTCATAGATCATTGTCATATTGATAGTTGGAGATGCTTTGTTAAAGGTGATCAATATAGTCTAAACTGGTTTGTTGGGCATCTATTGCATGTGCAAGTATTTAACACTCTTCTAAGAACTTCGTAAGAACTTCTGATATGTTCGGAAAGTGCAGAGATTTTTGTTATATTCCATTGAAGAAACAACGATTATGAGATCTGTCCATCATACAGATGAAATTGGAAAAGATTTTCAACCAATAGACATAGTTTAACAGTAGTCATAGATATTTTTGTTGTTAATTAGGTTTAGTTGCCAGCTGAAGATAGCACATGTTCGTGTGGGGGGAAGAGAGAGAGAGACAGAGAGAGAGAGATCCAGAGTTGCTTTAGGTCCCATATTTCTCCTGCCTCTTTTCGATTGATTATTATTAGTCTTGCATTGACACAGAGAGAGAAAGAGATCCAATGCTGCTTTAGGTCCCATATTACAACTGCCTCTTTTTGATTGATTATTATTAATCTCGTATTTTCTGAAAAATCTGGTTCGTATGACCGTGATCAATGCTGAGTAAATTCTTGTGCTAAATTTCCTATAAAATTCATATGCCCATGAATTGTGATGTATCCCATAGATTCTATCTCTGACATGGTTTGTCCTTTGATTTTAATTCAGCCCTTGTTGCATTTACTGTTTACTTAGTTTCTGTTTTGGTTGCTGTTGTCATCAGAGCTTCTAAAGCTGGAGAGGAAGATAGTCAGGTATTGGACATTTATGGAGATCTGGCTTACTTTCAAACTGGTTTCCAAAAATAGCTTTGCCGCAATTACAGTTGCCACTGCTTATCAAGGTTTCATGAATGAAGAGTTATGTAAAGTTTCAAACTCATGCTTGTAAGTATTTAAAGTTCAGGAGCTTTTTGTGTGAACACTGCTACGAGTCATCAACACCTCAATAATGCAAGCGTTTCAGAACAGTTCTTATTAGTGACTTTTTTCTCTGAGTATTCCAATGTGGGCATCAGCACTTTCACTTAGCAACAGCGCAGTTGTGGATGCACACGGTACACTTGATTGTTTGGATCCGAATACTTGTTGTATGTGAAATCTTCTTTCGATCACTCGAGGGGGTAATGAATCGAAACTTGCCAATACAGGGAAATTTGGTCAAATCTCAGAAAAGGATTTGGAAGTGCCAAAAAATGGCTACAAATTAATGGAAATGATGGACTTTCTTAAGAACTGTTGGCTGTTTTGAAATCTGGTCAGACTAGATAAATTGGAATTTAATTTGTTTAGATACAGGCAAGTTTGTTCTTATTTAGAGCGGGCATTTCTCTTCAAATAGAATAGTTACACCAATCATATTGGACATGTTTAGGTTTGTGTGTTCTCTTGAATTTTTGGGTGTCCACGCTTGCAAGGGCGGATTGGTTAAAAGTACAAAAAGATTATAATAAAATAACCAAAATACCTTTGCAATTTGCATTGAGTATTTTAGACACTTTATCATTGAAAAAAATAGGAAAATGGTATGACAGAGCTGCCGCCCAATTAAAATAAGTAAACCCTCACCTCATAACTTATCGAAAATTGCAATTCAAGAATTGAAAAATCTAATTAGTCATCTTGATTGGAACATTATAGTTGTGAAAAAACATAAGGATTTCAAGCTTTAAATGTAGTGTATATTGTAACAAATTTTTTAGACCGTCTATTTTACCCTAAAAATATATGTTTATAGATATGCAAGATGTTTACTTTTTTGAGTTTTAAATTTTATTGGCGGTGTTTAAAATTGATTTGGAAGCGTCATGGAGATTATTGTTGTCCAAAGTCCTTTCAAGAGGATTTAAGGCGAGGTTTTATTTTATTTTCATAAAGCCTAGGCCTCATAGAAACTTCATCCTTTAAAGGGCGTAGGCTCTAAACAATCAAATTAGAGTCTACCTTCAAATAGTGTCGAGAAATGCAGTTTCAATACTTGAAATCTTTGTGAGAGTTTTAAAATATATTTTCATATTTATTTATAAGGTCTAAAGCTTAAAAAATAGTGTAGATTGACATGTCTATGAAAATTTGAAAATCTTGAAAATTGACGGTCCAAAAATGCGTTACAAAATACACTATTTCCCAAGCTTGAAATCCATTTTTTTCTTATGCCCATGCATCTTGATGTCGAGATGTTCAATTAGAAGATATATGGGGATCAAAACAACATCTTGTAGTGAAAGTTTTGATGTAGGTTCAAATTTAATTGTTTAAAGCCTCGGCTTTGAATGTAAATAGTATACTCTTTCAACTATCCAATCAAGATGAGAGAGTTAAAATTGACATATGCATATGAAAATACAAAATAAAAAGATCAAGCAGCATCGGCCCAACTTGAATTAGTCTATTCCTCCAGGGAAGAAAATGAAGAGGCCTATAGTTTAGCAAAGCCAGTGTCTTACCAGGATGACATTTAAATCTCAAATTTGGCTATTATGATTGCGAGATACTTGTACTGAAAGTACTTATTTATGAAAGAGAATCTAATTTTGTTTTTTGTAAAAAAAAAATTAAGCCCTCTCTCTCTCTATACGCTATAGCTAGTTAATTATACAAAAAAAAGAAAAAAAAAAAGAGAGTATAATTTGCTTTTTTTTTCAAATGGTGAGAATCCTCATCCCCTCTCTCCTTTTTATAACTGTACAAATAGAACAAAGCTATCATTGGTGAGAAAAGTAAGTCTCTCTGGGTGAAAAGTAAGTTTGTCTCTCTATGTATCGGTCACTGCCACGCTGCCTCTCTTTTCCTTTTCTTTTTTTTCCCTCTTTGGTTTTTCAAATTCTTCCACACTCCATCATTACACCTTGCAGAAGCTGCGTGCATGCTTTAGCCAGGACACCAGTACATGCCAAATTGGGTGTTAGAGGGAAAAGCCATTCCACCTCTCTCTTCTTTTATTATTATTATTATTATTATTATTATTATTATTATTATTATTATTATTATCATTTGAATTAGTTACCAGCTAATCCTTCGCTATTTTTTTTTTTATAACTCAATGGAAAAACAGGCATCTATCAAGTTTTGAATTAATTAGCAGTTTTTGAAATTGCCAGTGAGAATAAAAGCCATACAACTAATGGAGGTGTACTACCACCACGACCTCAGCCCCTTCCCATCGTCGCTCTCCCCTTCCCATCGTCGCTCTCAATAATACGCATTTACTTTGGTCAATAATAGCATTTACTTTGGTAGGACACGACCATTTCTTTCTCATTAGGTCGCTCTCTCTCTCTCTCTAATACGCATTTACTTTGGTAGGACACGACCATTTCTTTCTCATTAGGTCTCTCTCTACATACACACACAAAGCATTGTTTCAGGAATCAAAAGAACCAAGATATATATTTCTTATAGAGAAATATCACACTAGAACATAACCCAAAGAGAAATAAATTACACAGCAAAATAAGTTAGAGGGGAAGGGAGAACTGCTAAATTGTGAGCTTACAAGCACAAAGGAAAATGAAAGATGGGGAATTAGCTAAGGGTTGCAAACAACGCAAGCGAGGAGGAGAATGGCAGAGGTGGTGGCATCGTCTTCGCCGACAATGCTGCTGCGCTTAAACCGACACAATTTGCTCCTCATCATCATGTTTTGCTCTTTCCTCTTCAATGCTTCCATTTGTTGCTGTTGCTGCTGCTGCTCTAAAAGGGTTGCTCCACCCTTTTTGGTATTGTGCACTCTAGAAACCATGTTGAGAGAGAGGGGTGTGTGTTTAGAGAGAGAGAGAGAGAATGCTGAGAGAGAGGGGTGTGTTTAGAGAGAGAGAGAAGGGAGAGTATATGGAATAGAAGAGAGAGTGGAGAATTGGGGGGAGAGTGAGTGTATGATGGGTTTTATATGTGAGAATGTTGAAGGAAAGGAGGGGTGGGGTGGGGGGGGGGTTTAAAAATAAACAGAGGTGATAGCAACTATGTTTTGAGATTTGCTTAGAGGCACTCTAAATGTGTTGTCCTAAAGTGGGTAGTCATCATGTGCAACTCCTTCACAACCCATGTGATCATGTGTCCTCCTCCTATGTCTCTTTCTCCTTCTTCCATGCTGACATGCATCACCTCAGGCCCACAGTATTTAGTGACTCTCTCTTTCTCTCTCTCTCCTCATAGGATAACCCAGAATATCCCAAACTTCCATTAAAAAATTATAAGTTCTTGAAATCTGAAATCTTTTTTGTTTTTGTAACAGTCTCTCTCTCACACACATGAGGATGAGCATGAGGATGAGGATGACCAGAATATCTTCTGAAGTTCTACGCAAAATTAAAACTTTTTAGAGTACATGACCGAAATATCCAGTGTTTTCTTTCATGAACCATGGTTCCCTTTTAATTCCTAGAAATCTGTTCAGCTTGGTTGATTTTCATCTATATTTCTATCAAGATGTAGTAAACATCAGAAAGAATTTCACCAGAACTAGAAAACCCACCTTCCACTTGCATCCCTCATGCGCTTGAACCCTTTATCAATTATGGAATAATACATAGGGGCAAATGGGTAAAAAAGGAAAAGAAGGATTGTATTTCAATAAAGCAGTATTGTTAACCTTGACCCTATATAAAAAAAATAAAAAATAAAAAAAAATATGAGTTATGTATAGATTTAAAATAATTACCTAATATACGATATGATTCGATTATAGGTGAAAATTACAAGGAAGGTTGACCAATTTGTATTTTTTTTATTTTTTTTAAAATTGCTTTCAAACAACAATTTAATTTATTTTTAGTTTTTTCGTTAGTAGGCAGTGCCCTAAACTTTAGGGGTAGTACCTAGGTGGTCCGAGGATCAACACAACAAAACCGTGATAGAGTCGTCTGAGGTCCCCATCCTCGGACTGCTGTTTTTCTTCAAAAAAAACTAAATAGAAAAATAAAGTACAATCCGAAGATGGCGATCTCGTACTGCCCTGGAACTAAGTTCTACTCAGTCCGAAGAGCAATTCGAAGTCACCATCCTCAGACTCTTTGTTTTTATCAAAAAATAAGAAATAAAGCGGTTCTAGGATGGGGACCTTAGACCATTAGTTTTCTCAAAAAAATAAGAAAGAAAGAGCGGTATGGGGATGGGGAGCTCAGCTCACTTAGGAACTGAGGTCGGCTCAATTCAGAAGGCGTTCCGAGGATTCTAGACTTGGACCACCTGAGCATTGCTTCTAAAGCTTGGGGAACTGCCCTCCTAATGAAAAAATTAAGAATTGTTTTTTTAAAATGCAGTATGAGAATGCCATCCTTGGGCCGATGGGTAATTTTGAAAAAGTAAAAAAATACGGGTTGATCCATCTTACATGTACTTTTCGTTCAAAATTGTCCAATTTTATATTTTAGATAAAGTTTTCGGATCCATACATAAATCATTAAAAAAAAACAACCAAGAGAGAGAGAGGGAGAAGAAGGATAGCAATTGCAACCCTCTTCTTTTCTCTCTTGAAAAGAGAACTATGAATTATAGCCAAAAGCTTGGCCTTATCCATTTGGTTGGGTGACAACAAGAAGCATTTGCATGGTTAGTAGGCCTTTCAAAATGTGAGATTCACTTCATTTCAATTAATTGGAGATGTGAGGGCCATGTTTCAATGGTTTGGTTGTGTTTGTACTGGACAAGATGTGGGTATGTGGGGATTAAAAACATGAGCTCATAATTCCAAGCACATGGGCCCATCTTGGAGAAGGCAAGACTGAGAAAATACATTGAACATGCCTCACCAATTTCTTCTTCTTTTTTTTTTTTTTTTTGAAAATAATGCCTCACCAATTTCTATTCAACGCAAAAATGTGTAGAGCCCAAGGCTTTGACCACCGTTTTCATGAATACATGGAACCTATCTTAATTTAACCATACTCACATGATCATCATACCCATCATCTTAGTTTACTCCCATGAGCATTATATATAACTTCATGTGCAAAGCTGGCTTAATCATTGTGCTAAGCTGA